CAAGTTACCACCATCTTTGGGTTGAGACAAGCAGACTGTTCTGCTGCCACATGCTTTCTGGATCTCCTTGCACCCAGTCAGCACTCACTCACACTCCTTGGGCAGCTCCCAGCAACTCATTCAGCCTCACTCCAATTCCTGCCTAGGCCAGCAACATTTAAGTCTTTAATGTCTCCTTTGAGTCTGACTCAGATCTGGAAAGAGCAAACCTTGCCAGCCTGGTAGCGGCATTCCCCAATTAACCAGATGGATCTGCGCACCGCAGATTACCCTTATCTTAAGGGGAGTCCCTGAGAATGGATGGCCAGCGTAATGGACCTATGTCACACTTCATCACAGTCTCTGCTACAGGACATCCTGGGGAAAGAAGGAAATGTGAAGGGACAAAAGATGTAGCTGGAAATCTGTGCTTCAGCCATTCTGGGCTGCCAGACAGTCCCTTGGAAATCACAGCAGCGAAGGCGTAAGTCAGAGCAGCCAGTGTCAATACACTAGCTTATGCCCAGGGTCAAATGGGATCCTAGCAGCCCAAGAGTCCAGGAGGGGCAACAGCAGTGCCCCACTCCCTCTCGTGGGCTGCATCTACAACAAGTTCAGCCCAGAATTGGGGCCCAAATCTTTGACTCTTATGGCTGCAAAAATAACATTCTGAATACGCAGGGCTGGACCTGCGGACAAGTAATTAACCTGATAAGAACAGAAACTACACTTGATCATAGCTCAGTTAAGTGTCAAACACACCACAGCTCCTGGCTACAGAGGAAGACAGACCTCACAGAAGAATTAGTATGACTTGGCAGTGTGGCAGGGCAGTATAAGGAAGTGGTCAGGACTCCACCACTACATAAATCGAGAGGCCTACCTCCCCAGATAGCGGATGAACAAAGGCCCCAGCTGTCACGTCAGCCCATGGAGGTTAGTTGCAGAACAGCCATGCAACCACTCCACACCAGACTACTGAGTTGGAGAAAGGATTCCTTTTTTCCCTGTATTCTCTTAGCTACCCTGAGAGAGGCACAGTTGGTCTTAAAAGAGGCAAAAATTTACCCCAGTTGTCTCTACAAAGTGTTGGCTGTGAAGCCTAATGACAATTCAAACATCAACATTGTAAAATACTTCACTGCTGATCATTTTAGCAGAAACATCAAACTACTCTGGGATTCCAGGTAGAGTTTTTGCCTGTGGGCAGACTAGGGTGACCAGGCAGCAAGTGTGAAAAATCAGGACAGGGGGTGGGGGGGCTAATAAGAGCCTATATGAGAAAAAGACCCCAAAATCAGGACTGTCCCTATAAAATCAGGACATCTGGTCACCCTAGGGCAGAATTCTGGAATGTGGACAACAGTTAAGTAGCACCACTTTGCCTCTCAATCTGACCCCCGAGATACAGGTTGCCTGCACCCATCCTGATAGATTCATTTAAAACACATCAGCCTTACAGCACATACAAGTATAAATGACAAGACTATGCTTGAGATATGTGAATGACAGGTGGCGGGAAGTGTCACTGTTATTAAGTAAAAGTTTTCACCCTTTTGGTAAAGATTACACACTCAATTCCCCCCTATCGCGTCACATAAAAACTAATAGATTGTTCTCTGGGGCAGGTGGTTATAAATTGATAATTGCTATCCTTTTGTTTTCAGCTTCATTTTAGGTTTTCAATCCGTTTTATTGTTATAGAATTCAAATAAGTACACAGAACTGCTTAGATCATATCATGTAAGCACTACTATTGTATCTGTGTCGGTCCCAGGACACACTGTATCATATGTCATAGGATGCTTTTAATTTTAAAATAGTTTTAATTTGATCAGCTACACAACAAAGAAAAACAACAACAACAGACATCTTAAGGGTGCTTTTACACAATATATCCTGCCTCTGCACTAACCAGTACTCTGCAGACTCACAGCAATTTATTATCTATTCCTTCACTTCTTCTACAACCCTAATTGGTATATACGCATAATGTCACGGCCAATTCCAGAAATCAATGCTTCTCATAAAATTCCCAAGTAACTTCTCAGCTACCATGTACTTTCATAAAATCCTGGCTCTTCAAGGAGTCTTTCCATTGACTTCAGTGGGCTTTGGATCAGGCCACACATTTCACTCTGTTTTCAAACCTGGGTAAGTCCTTTGCCTTGATAATAACCACACCTAAAATAATTACTGTCACAGCTATTTTAACTAGCACTTTGTTCTATGGCCTCAGATGAATTAAATACAGTTAAATAGTATCAGAGGGGTAGCCGTGTTAGTCTGAATCTGTAAAAAGCAACAGAGGGTCCTGTGGCACCTTTAAGACTAACAGAAGTATTGGGAGCATAAGCTTTCGTGGGTAAGAACCTCACTTCTTCAGATGCAAGAAGTGAGG